CCATAAAGTTATTATTTAACGATCTTTCGACAAAACCTAAATATTTGTTGTTGAACAATTTTTCATCAAAACCTAGATATTTATTATCTAACAATCCTCCAACAAAATCTAGGTTTTCATTATTTAACGATCCTTCGATAAAACCCACAATTTTGTTATTTAACAATCGTTCGATGAAATCTACAATTTTATTTAACAATCCCTCAACAAAATCTAGACTGCTATTATTTAACAATCCTTTAACAAAACCTAAGTCTTTATTATTCCACGATCTCCCGATAAAATCCAAATTTGTTTATTTCAAAGTCAAACAACCTTGACATAACCTCCTACAAAACCTAAATTGTTATTATTTAACAGCACGTCGTACAAAATTCAAAGATACATAACAAGAAATTTCACTTCCTCCGAATTCTACTGTTTCCAACTCGAATTACAAACGTGTTCCATATCCGTCACGTGACTGGCGACGACCAATTCGAATTCCTAACCTCAAAAAATTCGCTCTTCAAACACCGTGAAACCATAAAACCGAAAAAATATCCTGTCTCACCCCTCTCCAGCCCGAAGATCCTAGAACGAAAATCTGATAAAAATAATCACTGCGAGATCACCGTAAAATCAAGATAAAATCGCGATCGAATTAATCGCCCCGGAAGTCGTGGAAAAACAGCCGAGGTTCCTCGATGCTTCCGGTACAGCCGGTCCCCTTTAAGCCCCGGTTTCTTTTGGTAATTATCAGGTGTCCAATTATTGCGAAATTCTCGGCACAAGTGCTGTTTTCTTTCCATTGTTTCTTCCTCCCCCTCCCTCTTCCTCCGCGCCGAGAAACCCTGCCACCGTCCCCCCTCTCCCCCCCGTGCCGGTGGGGTTCTTTCATTCTTGTATCACTCTATTTTCTTATTCTGTTCCCGGACAGAATAGGGGAGTAATAGAATGAAAAGGGAACGGAGTCGAAAGGGCTGGTGGTGGGGTCGCGACGAAGAAGCTAGGATACGGTGTCGGCGGCCATTTTAGGCCACGTGACACGGGCGTGGCGTGACGTCATCGGCGATCAATACGCCGCTGAACCTAAATAAGAGCCGCGGAAAAAACGGGAAAAAAGGAAGATCCTTCGGATCCTCGGGATCGCGTGCATCCTCGTTTTTAATCCTCCCGCCGTTTTCCCGAATCCGACGGACTTTTTCTTTCCTTTTTTCTGCCCCGGCAAGGTTACTTCGACGGGATCGCGTTTAATTGGCGCCCGTGAAAAGACTCGTCCAATATGTCCGCCGTCCACGGAAAAATCACTTGTTATCCCCATCGATCTCGCGTTTTGCACGATTTTCACAGTGATTTCGGGGCGTTCGACTCGAATTCGAGAGTCGTTTGACGCCGTCGCGGGTTTTTTTTTCGAAAAATTTCGATTCAGGGATACCGAATGTTTTTTTTTCACTCCGTTGTGGGGGCTGCCTCTTTTTCGAAGCTGTCGATTTTTGGGAGAATTATTGTTTAGACTTTCCCGTATTTTTCACGGTATTAAGAATGTTCGAATTTGTTTAAATAATCGTCATGAACAGCGAGACGACCTGTTCGATGGTTTGAAAATTGGCGACCTTGGAGGAGTAAATTAACTATGCATCACGCGAACAGCAGGAAAAATTGAAACGTCGATTTCGTTTTACGGTAACAAATGATTTTTTTCTTCGTTGCGAAGCTGCAATTCTGTGTTTCGAACATGAAAGTTCGAACAATGTTGCAATATTTATGTATTTACAGTGAGCAAATGTTTTGTTATTAATTTCACAAGAAAATTGCAAAATTTGCCATCTTTAATTATTTCGTAGAAAGGTAAAATGACAAAACTCATTTGTGTGTGACTAATCATTTTTTTAATCATTTTCTGCAGTCACGAGTAAATATAGAATTGTGTATTTACATCAATTGGGAATTTTGTTTATAATTTTAACGCTAAATAATTCGATCGTGTGTGTACGGTAACGGAGAATTTAAATTGCAATGTTGTAGTAGTAAAATATATTTAATTTACAACTAGTTGTAATTAATATTGCGACAGCCAAGAATATTTTAATAAATTTTTATAAGTTGATGCCTGAAGAACAATGAATAAATAGTAATAATAATAATAATAATAATAATAATAATAGTAATAATATTTAATTTACAACTAAATAATATAATCGCATTTTCGACCTTCCATACGGGAAAACACGAGCTCGAGCTCACTTACACAGAACAGTATTTGTCGGACAGCTTCCTCCGATGATTCCCCTATCTAAATTCGCCGTTACATCTGTAGCACCATAAATTACATCGTATTTACATGCGTCGCGGACTAGGTCGCTGTAAATTATTTTTGTTCGAGTTTGATCGTGCCCGCTCGAGAAAGAGAGAAAGAGAAAGAGAGAGGGAGAAAGAGAGAGAGTGAGAGAGAGCGAGAGAAAGCGAGAGGGAGAGAGAGAAAGCGAGAGAGGGAGAGAGAGAGCGAAGAGAGCAAGAAAGGAAGAGAGAGAGTGAGAGAGAGAGAGAGAGAGAGAGAGTTCATGGTCAAAGAACCATACGGTTGAAAGGTCAAAAAGATTGCCGATTTTATTGCGCCGGCCAAATCTTCTTAATTATTACAACTGTAATTCGATCGTCGAGCAATCTGCAATTCAATTAATTTTATTTATCATCGAATAACAATTTCATTTATTTTCAATATTTTTTCCTTCGATTTATGCAGCGTAAACATCGAAATTGTTTTCCTCGATTGTAATTAATGTTTTCGTATTGAAACTTTTTTTTTCATTGTTACCGTCGCTTCATTGTTGTTCACTCAAACAATAATGCAATGTTAAATATTTATCTGTAAACTATGCGAACTCTAAATAATTACATAGATAACAATTTTGCAAACGTTGGCTTGGCTCTTCAGACTCCAGGAAATAAATTGCATTTTAAAATTCATGTTTTCATGGATTTTACATTTTTATTTAACTCAACACTTTTATTACTTTTCTATACTTTTATTTAAATTCAATTTATTTATCTAACTTCAGCTTTTACGAACTTTAACTAAGAAATTCTGTTTTGGAGTAATAAAGATTTTTAGTCGATACACAAAACATGTAACGATACTAAAAATGATCTGAAATTATTGAAAATTGTTGAAAATGGTTGAAAATTATTCAATATTATTCAGAATGACTGAAAATGATTGAAAATTGTTGAGAATGGTTTAAAATTTTTCAATATTATTCCAAATCATTGAAAATTCGAGTCCTTAAAAAATCGCATCCACCGCAATCACGTTAAACAATTCATTAAACTTCTAATTTGTCGCAACAATCAACGTCCACACGTTTCACCCAC